GCCAAATTGAAGTTCGGACACAATTGCCGGCACTCGCTGTTTGCTTAGGCATATAAATCCAAAAAGAGAGAGAGGGGGCAGAACGAGAGAACTGAAGCTGCCGGCACATGTCCTTCGTCATATTTTACGGCGTCGGCTTGATTAGTGCGCACATTGATAATTATGCAATGCGAAGAGTTTCTCGGGGTAGACGGCTGCAGCTGAGTCCCCTGGCTCTCTGGAGAAGAATGAGGGTGTCAGTGACAGCAAATCCTGTGCGCGTGTCGGCATTCGGCATTGTGCAAGCATTTCCGCTCGGGGGTACACAATCCACCACCTCATTTAGTCCTGTGAGTCAGTCAGAAAGAAAGTCAGAAAGTGGCAGCAGCAAACTTTGAGCTGTTGCATTTAATGGTCTTAAGCATGGCTGCAGAGAGAGAGAGAGAGAGGGGGGAAAGGGAAAGAGAGAGAGAGAGAGAGAGAGAGAGTGGTATCAGTTGTGGGCACTTCTGGCGCAGCTTCCTCTGACTAATGGCCACTGCGACTGACAACAGCTGCGGATTTACAAGCGAATGCATATGGCTGCGGCATTTACATAAAAGGTCGCTCAGTCAACAAAAGTGCGAAAGGAAAAGCTACTTTGCCATTTCTCAAACGCTTTCCACAGCTCTACACCTAAGTCCCAGGCATAGGCAGAGCGCTGCACTGAGGGTTAGATCAAATCAGCACAGTTTGCTTCAACGCGAGTCAAAAAAAATATCGCCTGGGAGCTTGTGCCGTATTCTATTTGTCACGTTTTGGAGTGAAAGGACACAGCGGGCAGACCAAAACAAGGTTATCCAGCAATTCCTGGAAAGTCAACTCTCTGCTTGGCTTACTTTTACACAGGGTAATGGAGTACCAGTAATTTTTATCAAGTTGAAATTGAAGTAACCCACTACAATGGGTGTATGTCAAGCCTAGGCAAATTTGAGTACCCTGAATCCATTGAAAATGGGTATGCAAGGGTAGAAAGGATTGCTCCAAATGTATGCCAAGGAAAAGGAAATATCATAAAAATCGGAAATTAATGTTCGATGCTTTCAAAGAAGGAAAGAAAAAAGAGGCACAACCGCCGTGTGAGTGTATAAATATTTAATTATTGGAGTAGCCATTAGCCCAGAGTATCTTCTAGTCGAAAACTCTCGCCTAGGTACCCTTACTAATGTTTGGCTGTGGGGTAAGCCAGAATATCAGATATACATATAAACGTATAGGCGGCAAGCTCAGAGTCTTTGGAGAGCATAGCTTTGATATATGAAGCGTGGGTTTTTGGTTAAAATAAATATGATGCCAACTTGGCATGTCATGCGAACGCAAATACAAATAAAAATAAAAAACCCTCCACAGGCACCTGCCAAAAGCTGAAATAATTTACATAAGCCCATAAAGTTTAAGTCGCATTAGACGTAAGCCAAGTGCTTGTAACCCCGAAGAACAAAAAAAAAAAAAAAGGCTCAAGGACCTGCCGCACACACCGGCGAGCTGTGTTTAGTTGCCCATGGCAAATGCAATTGTAGAAGCGGCAATGAGCCCAATAAACAAATACACTTGCCCTAACAATAACACTCGATGGCGAAAAACCAACAACAAGAAGTCGCCCCGTTTGGTAACACGAGCTTTATGGCCAACGGCGGCTACACTTTAACCCCACCTGGTGTCATTCGCCGCCCCCCCTGCTTCTGTCACTGCCCCTGCTCTTGTTTATGGCCACGTGTCGGTGAGCGACGCTGGCGTCGCTTGTTATTTTAAAATTTAAACACCCATGAAATAATACATATATATTCGAGCCGGGGTAAGCAGCCCCGCCGAACGGCGCCATCAGAGTTGAAGCATTGAATCCAATAGAAAAATGTTATTTTAATGCAGACGCTCGCCCGTTGCGACGCATTACAACAACAGCAACAACAAGAGCAGCGGGGATTTAGAAGTGCGGGGTGAAAGTAGCGTCGAAATTGGATCAAGGTCTGTGCACCCCGCTGGAGCAGGAAGCATGCAGCCATCCAGTCGCACGCGCCGCCAAAGGTGCAGCTAGCTGCCATTTGCATGAGACCCTCAGTCAAGGGTCTAAGGGCCGGGGACGGGGTGGGCGCGGTGGCAAAGAGTTATCGCTTGTATCGCATAAATTGAAATTGGTGCCGCCCCTCCGGATGACGATGCCAACGACGACGCCGCTGACGCTGCCTGCCAGCACCCGCACCACAATGCAAACTGATGCTACTTCTCCAGCAACTCGCATCATATGTGGAATTGTATTTACAGTTCACTTAACAAATGCGCATATCGCACGGCCACAGCAATGCCAATGCCGGTGGGTACACGGCACACGGCACAGGGCACATGGACATGGACATGAGCTACGGATGTGCATAGGGACAGGCATAGAGCTCGGGCCCTGTTCTGATAGCAGGGGGTAACTAAAGTGTGGGTTATATATAGCGTAACACTGTTATTTGAGGTTTATCAATCGGCCGATAGAGGTAAATAGCAGTGAAATGCGGGTGTTCCCCACTCTCTCCTCTCTCTCACTCTCGTTCTCTCTGGTGTGAAGTGGTTCGAGTTGTTCGAGAAGTGCAATAGTGTTTATGATACCGAGTCAATAAAGAGGTGTGCAAGAGTTCAAGGACTCAATGCATATAAATAGATGTGCCAGCGGGTTTGTCAGAGTGTGTGCCGCAATTTAAACAGTGAAGAGGGTGCATTAGTTGTCCATAGGAATACGCCCAAGCGAGGGAAACACTGACGGAAGAGTTAATGAGCGACAACAGATGGAAACTGAAGGACAACAATATTCACGAGGCTTCGATCCCGAAACATTGTGCTCAGCGCGGCGAGGCTTGGACCACGGCGGTGCTTGATCGTCTAAACTTTTAATTGAAGCAATCATTCTTAAGACGTACTTTCTTTTTATTGGAGAAGAACATAGTTATAAGCTAATAATCTAAGAAAAGTAAATGGCACTGGCTACTATGGCTTTGAATGCTGTTCTTCAGGATGATTGGGATTGACTGGCTCACTTAGAGAGCTTGATAGATCCAACGATTGCTTTATTATTAGAGATTGACGCGTTACCACGGCCTTCATTAAAGAAAACAACAGTAACAAATAGTTATAGATTCTTACGTTAACAAATATAACTGGCTTTGATGGCTTTTATTGAATTTCATTTACGAAGCTTCAAACCCCATTCTTCTTCCTGAATAGCTAGCTCACTTAGTAAGATCCGATCAGCGCAATAGATTCGAGCTGTGCCGTAACAGATAAGCTTGCCCGCTTGAAGAGTTTAGTTCTGACAATTGCGCCTTTCATTTGTTAAACATTTTGGCTTGACGAAATGGCCAAAGCTTGCCTAATTGGCTAAAACACGCACCTTGCCATGTGGCTGACTTGATGACCACCTCATCCTGGCATGGCCCACAACTAATTACCAAGTTGACATTGTCTCTCAGTGTGTCCTACGCTGGGCACATCGTTTGGCCGGCTGCTGATCAATTAGCTTTGATATTGTCGTGACATATTAATCGCCTCGCTGAGACAAGAAAACTCGCGCTTAAGTAGCAAAACCAACTAGCTGCCCAATCACTCTGCACCCCTAACAACGCCTCAGCTGGCTGGCTGGTCTTCGATTTTCATGGCTTAACACATGTTGACAAAGTAAACAGGATTTTGATGCTGTGGCGTACAAGCAATTTGCTAATCCAATACCCCAGCCCCGCTTTATCGCACTACCCCGTCTCTAGCTGCTGCGAAATAAAAAAAATAAAGTAACAAATTGGCAGATTAGTTGTTGACATTTTGGAAAATTAATGAAACTCTGCTGCCTCAAGGGCAACTGCAGCCACGCCCCCTAGAGCACCTAGTGCAAACACGAGTAGCTGCCACCCTCAGCAGAGTCGCTGTCCGGTTTATTTACCGCATAATTTTTGTGTGTTTCGGGGAAATTTCTGCAGCTTTTTACTTCACATTCAACTGCACACATAATTTAATTAAAAACTTGTTTTTTTCTCCATCAATTTTCTGCCTGAAAATATCAAAAAGCTTTCCACACATATGAGAGCCAGCCAAGCGTAGTGTACTAGTACAAATTTGCCTGCATTTTATTTGTTTTTCCAACGCCTTTATAAGGCATTTTTATTATATATTACTGGTTTTCAAAAGCGCAGAAAAGTTAAATAGAATTTAGTAGGTTTATTATGGGCCTCATAATATAAAATGCTAAAAAGGAATGCATGCATATTAAAATACTCGTTGTGTAGGTTGATTTAAAAAAGCAACCGCGAAAAAAATGAGGCCTCCGCAAAATATGAAAGCACAAGAACGGTCGAGTACAAAATGCCTGACAGCCAAATACCCTATATGGGGCATTGTGTATGGAATCTATAATGATATATAGATTCATAATTTCATAGACTACTTTATAACTTGTTATGTACTTTTGATTTTTGACATAAAATAAACTGATATCCCTTATGTACACTTCAAGCAATTTCTCTACCCTCTTTTATCCACTTGCTGTAGGGTATAATAAGCGAGCGAATTGTTGTAAGCTGCAAACATATTCTATAGAACTGGAGAACTATTTTCTGTGCTGTTCTTTTGAAATGCGGGCTTTGTTGGTTTAGTCGTCAGATTTACCGCTTAACAGGAATTCCTATTTAAAAAAGGCTTAATTAATTGTATTACTGCTAAAATTGCCATAAAGCATATTAATTATAAAAAAATTATGTCTAAACTACATTTCGAAAATAAATATTATTTAAATAATAATTTTAGTTTCTCTATGATATTCATATATACGCAAATCTCTAAAATATGCGATAATGAAAGATTTTTCCAGCAAATTTTAAGAATTCAGAAAAAGTTCAAAATGTAATCCGGTCAATGATTCATTAATAGATAATAAATATACACAGCAGTAAGTAAATGTACAGCTAGCTATAAATTAGAATGGTGTTCTTTTACTTTATAATCAAAGACTTTTTTTTAAGCTATACACTTGCCTTTTGCCTCATAATTCTTGAATTAAGAGCCCTGTTCAAATGCTGTTGAGTGGCAATCCCAAGTGGCCAACGCTTAACCCAAATGTATGGCTCAAAGAGAAATATTTCATAGAGACCTGTCACAATACAGCTCCATCTTCATCTTTATTGCAAAAACCATTCGTGAATGTACAAAGAAATGGGCCTGCCCGGCCGGATCTAAGGCTGTCCAGAATATTTGTTAGCTTGTTATTCAAATGAAAACGTTTTCTATACTCGTAAATCTGAGCGCGAAAGCTTCTCAAGGACTTGAATTCGTTGTTTTTGTGTGTTTCGCCCGCTGCGAACGTGCGTTTATGCAATGAGGCAGTGGGTAAAGGAAGAGCGAGTGGAAAAACAAAACAACATGTCAAAAAATAAATGTACAAAAGACATTTCTGGTATATTTTTCAAATGAAATATTAGTTTACTTTTAGCGACGGCGACAACAACAACAACAACAACAATAACAAAAGCCAGCGTCAAACCGTTGACAGGCAGCCAGAAAGGGAAGAACCAAAAGAAATGATAGAGTTGGGGGAGAGTGTAAGAGTGCGGCGTCTTATTTGTCATTTCTTTAACGATTTCTGCAAAGCAAAGCAGAAACCAACAGACAAACAGCAGGATAAGGCACAAAATGGCGCAGGCACGTCGAATCATCCAACTCCAACTCCTACTCGAACTGCAAAGCAAGAGCAGAGCCTCTCGTAATGGCTGCTGGAAGATGATGTCACTTTTGCTCAAGTGCCGCAATAAACAAATTTCTCAAAAGGGCAAACGAGGACATCCTCCTCGGGGCTACGTGTGCGGCCCAGGTAAGCCAAACAGTCAGCCACAAGGACCAGCCATGGGGACGTTTTGGTGGCACATTTGAATTATGAGTCGCGTGCTAAATTTTACAACTCAATGTGAATAGGGAATAAAAAACAAGACAAAAAAGCAAAAAAAAAAAACGAAATGAAAATTAAGTAATTTTCTTCATACCGATTGTTATCGTACGTACGGAGCGTAAAAGCGAAAGGGTTGCCCGCCCTCAATCGACATATGCCACACGCTTCTGGGCGCCCAGGCGTGTCAAGCGTTTAGATCAACGCGCGTTGATAGCGCCCGACCGCGTTATAAATGCCAAAATGCCGGCACGTAGCTCATCCCACACATTTTTTGGAACGCCTACCCGCCGCCCCCGCCCAGCACTCACCATTGTTGACATCAATAAATATTCGCGCACGGCCGCGCCGGCCATTGGTAGCATTGGTAGAATCGGAACCAGCCCAAGGCCCCGTGCCCTGTTCCTCGATCCACCCGGTCGCTATCATCATAACGCTGAAAAGCCATAAACGGCGTAATAAAATTCTGCACTGCCATATGTTCCCCAGCGGGCATTATTTTATTGAAGCATACGGACTAACGGACTCGTGGACACACACAATTTGTAGGCACTGTCGTTTGGAGCAGCCACCACCATCAGCACCACCAGCGACCACAATCCGCTGAGGAAGCCCATAAACTAAAGACTTTTAGAATAAATTTAACATATTGTGGCGTTTATCATATTATTTTGGTTGGAACATAAAATTTAATTTTTTAAATTGGTAAATAAAAGCACCGAGGGGCCACAAAAAGGGGAGCCTCAAGACGAACACTTAATACTCTAGCAAGCATATCAAAAGCTGCTGCTGACGGTATTTTCATTTGATTTGTAAAATATATACCATTCATTTGCAGCAAATAGACAAACAAAATTTCTTGAACTTAATTTCTTTTTCAGATTGAAACATTTTGTTGCTTCTGGAATGGTTAAATAATCGTGGAACCCTCTCAGTCAGAGCATTTTTTCTATGCAACTTCGATGCGGTTAAGCTCCGGGGTTAGCTACTGCGCTTTACTTTCACTCTAAAATTAGCTTTTAATTTAATTAGCTTTTTATTTGGTTTGAATGCATTTGCCCCGTTCGCCCCACACCGAGCCCTGCAGGCTGCTGTGGCTGCTCTGGCCTTATTGGGTATTAATAGGCTGGACAAAGGCGGGCCAGGGAGGAGCTGGCGTATAAAAGGCACAAAACACTGGACCACAGCAGAGCTAAAAACAAAACAGGTCACTCTGTTGGGCAGGGGGCCAGACAACTGGCCTGCAGGTACTGCACTCATTTGCTGGAATTCCGGAAGGAGCGACCACATCCCATCTACTTCCAGTGCCGATTGTGCGCTTTGATGTTGACGTTTCAAACTGGGTCTAATTTGGCGTAAGCCCTTTATGGGCTTTCCAAACATCTGCAGTGCCGGACTTAAAGGGATTTTAAGATTTTATAATGGTTCAGCAATCAAACAAATAATTCCACAGCGTGCATCCAAAATGTAGCCCATAAAACATAAGATATATACGAGTAATTAGGGAAGCTTTAAGCAACACTGGCACATAAAAATGTTGGGATTACATACAATTAAAATAAACCTAGTCGTTCATTTCGCTTCAAATCCTTAGGTTTCGCTTCATTTTCCACATCTGTGTAGCCAGTTTTGGGCTTCAGCCTGAGTTCATTTAACACATGTCAATTCTCAACATAGTAAAAATAATTTGATATATAACTAATATTTTAATGAATATGTCTATCTGCATTTCCTAGAATATTGTCAGAATGCTGGTTAGTCTGTGTTATTATACTTTTAAGGTTTGATTATTGTCCACAAATCCATTGTCGTCCAGTCGGCTGTATCATCCCATATAATTGAATAACGACGCCAAACGCCGCGTCTACAAATTGAACAAGTGAATTGTTTGAATGCCAGTTTATCCTTGAACAGAACAGCGCAAATTATATTCCCGTCATATGAAGCACAGCAACATATACATAGATAAATATGCCACCCACCCATCAATATACTCCCTAGAAAATAATAGGCTGCCTGTCCGTCACTTGGTCAATCATACGCTTTGTCATTGTTGTTGTGCTTGTTGCGTTGTTGTTGCTGTTGTTTGAATATGTGTTTGGGGTTGTGCTCCCACAATCAAATTGGAATCGTTAGCGCAACAAATTGAATCGAATCAAAGCCCCGACGTGCTCGCATTTAAATAATAGCCAAAGATTATCAATTAAGCTGTTGTACAAATTGATAGTGCAGGCTCAGTTTTGTCCCGGCCCAGTTCATACGCCCCATTGGCCCTCCCACTTTTCATATCCACGCGTGCTGCATTATTGCATTAAAATTATTTAATTATCGACTGGTCAACGTGGCCTTTGTATCGGTGTCGCAAACACCTGGGCAAACGCATAATTGCATTGCCGGAGGGGCGCCGTGAAACAAAGTGATAGAGAGAGCGAGACAGAGAGATAGAGTGAGAGAGAGAGAGAGAGAGGGATAAAAGGAGAGCGGCGCTTATAAGGAAGGCAATATAGTGTATATTCACGTTCGTTTATGCAGTGCGTGCCGCACTGAAAATATATGCAGATTGCAGTTATGAGGTTTCATTTTTATTGCACCAGAGACTAATAAGATTTTCATGTGGACACGAAACGCAACCCCCCGCCCACCCCACATTCCATCACCCACGCCACATAGTAACAATTTTCATCATAATCGCACTGATTTACATTGCAGCAAAGTGAACTTGTTGGATAGGCTGCATTACATTAAGCAGCATTTTTAATTACAGCATAAAAGTTAATTACAAGTTGAAAGAGAACAAAAAAACACCATAGCGATTTCTTTGTAGGCGACAATAAAATTTAATTTTGTATGCACCTCTGATAATATTTCATGGCGTATGAAACATTTTTGCAAATTGTTTTAAAGTTTGTTAAATTCTAGTTCACCGTTTGCACAAACAACTAAGAATGCTTAACCTACGAGTAGAGATGGGCGCGACCCAGGTTTTTTACAGCACGACCCAATACGTACGGGCAATACGGACAAAATATACCAGCCCAGTCTAACACGAGCCCAGATACATATATGTAGCTTAGGCATTTTATTTTTAGTCGTTTGGATTTGCTGAATAAACGTCTTTATTAAGGATTTGTAAAGACTTAAAATCTCATATTAACTTGATTTATGTCAAAAATTATATTTCATAACCTTGTTTTTGACTCTATCTTAGAATCAAGTTCGTCTTCGTGCTGGTAAGGCTTGAACGAACACGCAAGAAATCGAGTTTTACAGCACGCGGCTCTCGTGTCACGTAAAAAACTCAGCACTCGACTTGCTGGTACCCTGTAATAGCACTTTCTTTTTGCAGGCTATCTAGGATTTAATAAATAAAAAATTACCTTTAAAAATGCAAGCAGCTTATACTTAATGCTATGCAATACACATGCTATATATTTTGGATATTTAAATAGTAGACAGCTTCATCTATATCTATGAGCATGCCATGCTCTTGTAAATTACCTTTAGTTTTTGTTACCAAACTTGGCCGATGACTTTGCTGTTACAGCGAGAAACGCATCGAAGCCTTAAGCTTCAGTTTGACAATTTTAATGTTGTGCAAATATTTGCATAGGAAATTTCACTGCTTTGCTGCTTTTTGTATGGCGGAGGATGGGGAGAAGGAAACGGACCCTAAGCAAAGGACATGCCGCACAAGAGCGCACCTGGGTTCGGTTTTAGGCGGGGGGGATGACAAGCTGCCAAACAGTGGCCCGGCAATAAATCAAAACTCAGCTAATTACGCAACAAAGAGGCGACTTTTCGCCAGCTGAATGCTAATTAAAAACGAGAAATGGACCAGGGCCAGAGCCGCATTTAGATTTGGCACCCTCTGGCACGTGGTCCAAGCGTTGCCCTTTTGCCAGCTTCTCCTGCCAAGTCAGCAGAGCTGAAGAAAGCTGCTGAATAGCCAACACAACTTGGCCATTAACAATAATACAAATCCGTGGTGAGGCGAGGTGAAACCATTGGGCAATGAAACGCAGCCGAATCGCAAATTTATGTGGCACGAACAGGACTCTAAATGTGGCAGCACCTATGATGCCGGCGAGCTAGTCCTGCTGCTTCTGCCGCTACTACTAGACGTAATTAATTCGATTATATTTCATTGATTTCAACGCCCGGGCTCATAGAAAATAAAATTTAATTGAAATGCCGTTCGGCGTGGCAACGTAAATCAAGTTAGCTGCCCTGCGACTGGAATTGGTGGAAGGTTGGGCAGGGGTGGGCGATGTCCCCTTTTGGAGGCGACAACAGCCAGCTATAATGGTAAACAAAAAATCAACGTGACAGGAAAGAAAATTAGCAAAGTTCGCTCAGCACTGTCCTTGGCCAAAAGTGGCCGCCCTTGGGGCTTAAGCTGCTTTATGCTTGTCCCCAGGACAGGCACCAGGCGAAGAGTGTCTCTCATTGGGCGCTCCCAAGGGACGCGAATTTAGGACCGACCTGAACTCCGGCTCAGCCATGCGGCCTGTTTGGACTTCTGTCAAAGACATGGCAACAAGAATTTTTCCTGTGGACATTGATTAATAATGTTTTCGTATAAGTACAAGGATATACGATTTTTTATCATAGCGCACAAGCGAAGCCTGTTGTTATTGTTGTTGCCATTATTATTTGGCGCGTTTCTTTTTAATGACTTTGAATGGAAAAAAATTGTTTTGCAAAAGTATGCGACAATCTCAGGGATGATTGCTGTTTGCTGCCCTGTGCCTGATGGAAGGGAAATGAAAGCCTATTAGCTTTCGGTTAACGAACGTGACAGCTTCGAAATGTTTTGGTCAGAAATCAAAAAGATGTATGTGCCGACATCTATTAATAACCAAAACATATTACATAATCCACCAATTTTCCGCCTCTCAAGAGACGTATTGGAAATAAATTTGTAGTCAGTCAGGTAAAGAAGTTTTTTAAAGTCTTGCAAAGAGGCAACTGCTGTAGTAAGTCACTCAGTCACTCGATCACCCGGTCACTTCTTTATAGATACCAAAGAAATAATAAGAAGTTTTTACATTATGTTTAGAGCATCTAAAAGTCGATGTTGCCTTGGGTGCTGATTTCTGCGCGCTAATTTGAAAACTAGACGTAGGCATAAATCATGCGAAATTATTCGACCGCAATTTCGGTATTTTCGTAGAGCTGTCGCCTTTGAGCTTAAATCCTATTGAAGCCTGCGGTGGTTGGCTATTAATTATGAGCGTGGGCAAATTAAAAGACATATTCACACACACAGCGACACACACACACACACACATACTATGGTAACTCGCATGGATTTTCAGTCTGATTTCATTATAATCAATGAGTGCATTAGTCAAAGCCGACAAATCCAAACTTGGTCGTCGTCGTCGTCGTCAATGTCTACGTCCGTTTGCAATAGCCTAATTAATAGGCAAATTCCAAGAGCAAATTGTCCTGATAATTAGGCATGCACAAGTGCGTCAAATGCCCGACAGCCGAAGCCCTATACCATGCGCTGCCTTAGTACGGTCACAGACCCTCTAATATTAGTGCCTGTGTCCAGCCACATCCACCTTCATTTGCATTAATTGCCGTTAAGTCGTTGTGCCCGACCGGGGGCAGATCCCCCTGACCGGGAAATTGGGGTATGTTGGACTGCACTTGCATTTAGTGCAAATTTGTCGCTTTGACAACGACCCACGTCTACCTTTGGCTATTAACAACATTGCTGTGCTTTGCAGTGCGGCCTCTAAGCCATGGATATTAATGGACCTTTGGGCAATATTGGAAATATTAACAGGCATGTTTTCCATCAGGCGATGCGAGGGCGCGTGCAATGGATCATTCAGCTGTAGTTGCTTGTAATTGATATTAAAGGAGTCCATCACGAGTAAATGAGATTATGAGTTGAAAGAGAATAATAATGAGGACAGCATAGATATATGCATATAGAAGAAAATGAAAATTATGAATAACAGTGAAAAAGATAAACAGAAAGCACTCAAGAGTTCAAAATACAGCAGAGTCAGGTTAAATGGAGTACTGCAGAATTAAAAAGTTAAATTAATTAATTAAATATCCTGAACCCAGCCCAAGCTGCCTTTGCAGGCATTCGAGGTATGGAAAATCAATTACTGTATAGCAGCAGTCTTTAAAGTCCAATTATTATACGAGAACTTACATAGTTGTGTTATTTAAAATGTTTCATTATTTTATGTAGTTGCTTTTTATACCTACCTCATGGAATCGGGAATGCTTCATTCATTCATGTTACATACACTTGCAGAAATCCAATATACCCTTTATGCTCATTGCAAATGGGTTAAGATAAATTGACTTTACAGTCAGCGCACCTGCAAATCAAACAAAATATTTAATTTTTCCAACTTTCAATTCTAGCCATGCGCTTGTTAATTATTTAACATAACGTGCGTTTAAATACTCCAACGTGACGCCCAATTAATTGTAAACCAATTCCAACAATTACATAGTTCTAGTAAGGCCAACTTCTTGGTAGAAACTAGTTAGCTTATCAGAGCAGAGCAAGGAGCATGAAAATTACAATCGAGTTCGCGTTTACCCTCTCAAATTAGTGTTCCACAATTAAAACCCAATCAAGATGTGAACAACTGTAAACTTTTCCCACAGCTTTTAAACTGTTTTGTTGTGGTTTATGGGGAAAGGCAGCGCTTGCTCAGGATTTCTCTGTGTGATATTCGTGGGCGAGCCCAAAACAGAAGACAAACTGGCAATTAGTTAAGTTTGGTATAGTTTTTCTTTTCTTTGTTTATTCGAACTGTTGTTAAACAAATCAAGTCGGATGCCACACTCCAAATACCCCAGAACTGTAGCTAATACACTAAGCAAGCAATTCATGTTTTATATTAAAAAAAAAAACAAAGCAGATAATGTTGTGCCCTTTCTCGAACATTAGTTGTTGTCTGCCTGCAGGCAAATGCGTGCTGATTTTTATGTATTTTTAATGAAACTTCAACTCTGGAACAACTGCAGCAACTAGAAAACAACCACAGTTGCGAGCTGTCGTCGTTGTCTTTGTCGCTGTCTCTGTCCCATTGGGGATTTTCACAAGTGGGAACCAAAACATTTGTTCCTAGATTTTCACGTCACGCTCCTCATCGTGGGGTCGTCGGGTGGCCTTAACAAGCCAAAGAAAAAAAAGGGGGAATATTCAGTCAGACAGCCTTAGTTTTGGCCTCTACAAGAGGGCGTGGCACATCACCAGCATACATATATATATATATATATGTATGTACATATAATCATTAACAGTGTCACATGCGACATAATGAGACAGGGCGCACTGCACAGCGTGCAGCCCCAAGGCAGCTCCGGCAACCAGACAGGAGCAAATACACACAAGAACATACTCTAACTCCAAAAATTGTAGCTGCCTGTTTTGCTGTCTGAGTCTCTGCTGCTGCTGCGGCTGCTGCTGCTGCCTCCACATGTTGCAGTCTCGCAGTCTGGAGTCTCGGGCTGCTGCCGCTTAAGTAGTTTACATTTTATATGCAGCCCATAAAAGGAAAACATTCGCTCCATTAATGGAACATAATTTTTCGTTTTCTGTTCGTCGACGTCGTCGGTCGCTGGGATTTTTGTCAAGTTTATGAAGATTGAAATGGTGAAGCAGCAGCAGCAGCAGCAGCAGCAGCAGCAGCGGCAGCAGCTCCCACAGCTGAGGGCTCGGGGCGGCCTGCATCATAAAAGAAGAGTGCATCAAATGGGATTTTAAGTTGTCGCATTTAACAGGCAGCAGCAATAGCAACAACAACAATAACAACAGCGCGGGCGACTACAAATAGATCTATCAAAATTTTGTTGCAGCTGGGCGGTAGGTTGGCAGAGGGCAGGGGGCTTGATGCAGAGGTTTTGTCATAAAGATGCGTCTTTTTTTCTAATTCTATTTTTTAAGTATTTTGGCATTAAGCATTGGGCCGCATTTGAGCTGTGTGTTTAGTTAAGCGTTTTGTCATAGTTTGTTTTGTAAACCTTTTATGTCATAGCTCATTAGTTCGGCTGTCGTCTGCTGCTAGTGAAGCATCATAAGCGTTTATAGCTTTGAGATACTACCCGAGCAGCTGAGTCACTCGAATGGGTTTCTCTGACAACAAATGGATGTGTTTGCTGAAGCATTTCATTGTGAAAGCAAATCTATTAATGCTAAGATTTTAATAAAAAATCTAATGTATTGACAGCAGTTGCAGTAATGTGCTAGGCTGTTTTGTAATTATTGAGAACTTGAACCATATCAACTGAATAATATATGTGTTAAATAGCGCTATCTGCAAAACAATCTCTGACTTTAAAGAAAAAGAACTATAGAGTCTATGAAAATTGAAAACTCTTTAAAAATTAAAAAAAAAAAGTAAGAAAATAACATTAATAAAAAGCTTATCCTCTTGGTAAACCAATTTGCAAAACGTATTTTCCATATTGGCTGGGCGGGGACGAGCAGAGCTTAATGAAGACCACGGTTCCAATTTTGATATACTGTTTATCCCACACCGTCCCGGAAACCCAGACTGATGCGCATGTGACGATGTCAAAGGAAATTAAAAACGTCCCGAGCCATCGATGATGATGAATTTATGCGAAAATTTAATTATTCAACAATAAACAGAGCCGACAAAGTTGCCCGAGTCGAAATACGCGGAGCAAGCGGCAAAGGGCAAATAACCGCTGAAAAATTAATGCCGATTGGAGGCAAATGGCAATAAATCAACGCACAAACAAAGCGTCAAAAGGGGGATAGCCCACAACGTTTAATGAAAACGGATAAATCGAAAATGGCGTTAAATAAAAGTATTAAATAGCAACAGGCTAAGCGTTTTGGCCAGCGCTTGTTGGCCAATTAGTCCAGCTGGCAGTTGCCAGCTCACAGCTCAGCGTTGTTGACAAGAAATTAACAAATTGCATGGCTGATTAAGAGACGAGGGCAAGTTTCGCCCATAGCCTGATAGCAGGATACTTTTGAAAAGTAATTCAATATGTTTTTACATTGGCCACAGGCTGTCTGCCAAGCAGCAAGCACAGATCAAACGTGGCCAACTGTTTGTCTGTTTGTTTGTTTGTTTGTTTATCTATTTGATTGGCACACAAAGCGTGAATTGCCGGGTTGCCTGCCCCAAAGGCTGTGGCAGCCCTGCTCGTTGCAACGACACTTGAAACTCGCTATAAGAAGCATTCGCCAGGGTTTTAATGTTTGAACTTTTTATTACGCGCCAGAAGCAGCTGCAGAAGGACACTGATTGGCAAAAGGCGGGCCAAAGGCAACCGTCGGGCGGTCGGGCACAGGAGCAGAGGGGCAAGTGCTTGTCATATGACACCAATAAATCGCTTCAATTGCTCTCTGAGTGACGCCAGTTACCTGACGGAGCTAAAGGCGCCGCCAGACGCTCCAAGCATTCAATGTCAGAGGCGGCGCCACACGGTAATGAAAAAATGCCAATACCAAAATGAATGTGTGACTGAAAGGGCGCGACGATGGGCTGCAGGGGGCTCTGATGTAGACTCAACTGTGGTGTGTCTGGTGTGCGGGTTGTGTGTGTGTGTGCGTGTGTGTGCCCGCGCTTCAATGATGCGTAAGTAATCCTTTCAATTTAAGCGACGCCAGGTGAATAATTGGCAACGATGCTTTGGAAATTACCGTAAAATTAGCTAGCAAAAACCTGTCGCACAAAATGGAGTAATGCCAATAAAAGCGTAACTCCAATACGATGGTGCACGCTGTGCAACGGGTTCTGATGAACTGCTCCGAATCTCAATATTACACACTATATATAAACTTCACCGATAATAGGCAAATAGGCAAAAGAGACAATAAATTTATATTTACGCGGTTTTCATGCATTAAAGAAATTCCCTCAAATGTTTCGACTTTTAGTCTAGGCAGAGAAAGTTGTGCAAGAGTAGAACAAGCAAGGAAGAGATTGAGAGAGATGGAAATCTTGATAGATTAAGGCCATGAAAATCGCATAGTTAGGCGAAAATAAAGGCATACCTTCCTAAACGTAAATTTCTAGATAATCATTTTATACAGAATTTGGGAAACTATTAGAAAACTCTAATATGCTGTTTGTAATTTCGCCATAAAATTGTGCATGTCTTATTTTATTCTAGAGCTCCTGCACAACCCAAAGAGTTAAAATCTTTAAGTGTCTCCTGTTCATTTCAGTTCCTGCTCAGTAAGTTTTACAGTCAACTTGTTTACTGCCCTGACACAGCAGCCGGCGCAAACCAGCTCCAAGAAGCCACTTCAAATCAGCACAGAAGCAACAGCTGCTGTTCCAGTTCTTGGCCTTGCTCTCCTACAAATTGACAACAGCAGCCAACCAAAAAAAAAAAAAAAAAAAAAAAAAATAAGAATGTTTGTCACCTGACGCGTGCACTTAACCAGCAGCTACCAAGCTGTGGAATCCAAGACCAAACCGAAATAAACAACAGCTGTCCGAGAACTCCACACATGCGATTACCCAGTGCCATGTGTTGCTCCATGTGCTGCTGCGCATTCAAATGGAAGCTGTGAGCTGAGGCTGCCTGTCCATTCGCATTTAAACAAATGGCGTTTTTTTTTGGCAACAACTCTTTGGGTTTCATATATCATTACCAAGTAAAAACAAACTAAGGAAAAGAGAGAGAGAACTTGAAGGGGCGGCAGTTGAGGTGGAATTGTTTATGAGATGACGACCATAGAGAAGAGCAGAGCCTAAGAACGCTTGTATAAATTGCCTCATTATGAAGCTCATCCATAATCTATGAACGACAGGGCTATGGAGCCATAAACTATCCAACCCACATTCACTTCGATTACCAGACGAGCGCCCAAATGTATGCTATGCCGTACCATGGGCGCATGCAATAAGGAAGTATTCGAACTGTCGGGACAGGAATGGGCGGCTGAGGCCTAAAAGGGAAACACAGCCATTTTCGACACGTGTTTAACTCGTTTTTCAAAGACTACGCTGTGGACTGGCCGCCATAGTCATAAAACAATTCACTTTATGCGCACGAATTTAGCCATTTGCCAACATTTGAAGCGTTAAACAAACGCCAAACACCAAAGAAAGCCAACCTCAAGGCTTAAAGGTTCTGACAAAAGAACTAAGCCGGCAGCTGTGTATAGTGGGCAGCTAGTTCTAATATATATATAAATATATATTTCGGCAGAAAATGAAATCCCTCTAATGGCCTTGTCAGTTGCATTTATAAATTTTAAACAGTTCTGCTTAAATCGCATTGTGTAGAGACCCAACAGTAACTGGAAAAGCTGAGAAAGCATCAGTAACGTCAGTTGGGGCATTATTTAATATAAGAAGTGTGCATTCAATGAATTTTAAGCAGCTGTTATCAATTGAAACACTTTCAAGGAAGGCCAAAAATGTATACGGTCTTTGAGAAAGGCGCATTCCTTAAGCGGCTGCCCTGCCACTTGAAGCTCTGAAAGCATTCGGATTTGTAGATTGAGCTGGGCAAGATGAGAATTTAGACCTAGTAAGTAGCTCTTAAGTCCGTTGATGTTCTCAGGTTTTTGGACACTTGATTGATTGCCCGAACTGATTCTATGTGAATTTAGATCTGCTTTCGAATGTTTATCTTACTCATCTGACACCCGAAAACTTTTTGGCAAGGGAACGCACACCTCATCACAGTCAAATCTTGTCAACTGCACGCAGAACTTTAAGACATTCTCCATGCAAAGCACAGCCACCCACAACAAGTGGCTGTCTGATGGATGAGTTTGCCCTAAAATAAACCCACAACTGAAACAGCAAAAAAAACTAAAATAAAATAAAAAATTATAATACCGTCAGTAACTAAAAATTGTGTATAAATATTTGGCTGCAAGCTATTTGCACTTCATGCTTGACATGCCACACGTCAGCAACAGCAACAACAACAACAACAATAATAACAAAGACAATAACAACCACAACAAAAGTCCAGCAATTTAGGTTTAAAATATGTTAATACCATTTGCTATTGTTGTTGTTGTTGCGGGTCGGTTGCTGGCCTGACTGTCGTAGGAAGGGGATTTGCCATCCAAAATACCTCAACAAAATATTTTAACGTTCGGTTTTTGGATTTTGTTGTTTTATACCCTATCAGTGAATACAATAATGAGGGTATGCAAGGCTTATGGTGTTAAAAAAAAACATTTTTCAAATAAAATAGCATAACATTCAATTCGTCTAGAATAGTATATAAAGCATTTTTTTATAATTTTATTAACTTAAATTTCTACACTTTTAAGCATGTCTTCCTATCATAGCTTTTCTAAATATAAATATATAAATATCCCGACCTAAATACGATTTGAAAAATATATTAATACTATAAAACAAGTCAAATGCAACTAATATAAACTTAGGTGTTGACGTAGAAGACTGTGTAGGGTAACTTAAGGTACAATTGCTTATGATTTTCTCCGTGCTTTGTTTTTCTTTTTACGGAAAATAGTTTAGTCCGGTTAGAAAAGCTTGCGTTGTATTTTTGGACAGGCGCCTGTCAAAGAGCAAAATTGTTTTTATAAAATAAATCAAATTGCTTATCAAAGAGATGATTTAGTGGCCAGCAGTGGGGGTAAGAACCAAGAAAAACAGCTCAACTTTAATAATTGCACAAGTTGTGGCCTCTTATGGCTCATAAGTCAATAATGGAAGCTCACAGGGTGCGCTAGAGCGAGAGTGAGCCAGAGAGAGGGAGCTTGGAGATAAACAACAAAGTTTTCAGGCAGGTATGCCACTAAAAATGCGTAACCTGAACGCATATTATTATCTCTTGTGAAAATTTACGAGATCAAAAATTAAAATGCCCTTAAGCATAGAGTGGGAGTTGATGCCAAAGAAAGTAGCTGGGGCTAAGAAATTGTTGCAAAATAATTTAATGGCTAGCCAAGGGTTAGGGCCAGGCAATCCATAACCGCATCAACGGCAACCAACAGGGAAAAACTTGTGGGTGGCTGCCAGGCTGGATGGCTGGCAATAAGGGATAAGCATTGGGGCTGAGTTTCGCCCATATCCTTGCGGGCATTTTCGGACGCTCTACGCTTCAACTACCAAATTGTCCATTTATTATGCGGCAACGCCTTTTTCACTTTTGCCCTGGCCAAGAGAAATGAAGTGCCCGACAGAGAAGCCTCAACCACCCGCCTCTGCATAAGTGAAGGCATTAAGAAAAGCTGTGTTTTAGGGGGAGTGACCTGCACTTAAGGTGCAGCATCGTCTACATTAGCCGCACACTTTGCCACGGAAGTTGCACAATTAGAAAAGCCAGTCAAAGTTCTTGCTTCGTTGACTTGCCCAGCCTTGTATCTCGCTCTCTCTCTCTCTCTCTCTCTCTCTCTCTCTCTCTCTCACCCGCTCTCTTAACTTGTCTCTAACTTGCATATTAAAAATAGTTTTTCGCTTGCAATTTTTCAATTTTCTTTTAGCAGCTGTCTGCGGAATATCAAACAACCGCCTGTCAATATGCATAAAATGCTGTTGGCCCGCCATTAGATTAGATATTAGTTCAGACAGCCTCAGCTTCTGGTCCCCCACTCAAACAAAAAAAACTAAGGTGCAAATCCTTGGGCCAGACGTTGAAAAATTAGAAATGTTTCGCAAGCGAAACTATGGATAACAAGGTTGGTTGCCTGCCTTCCTGCTTGGTTGCTTAGTTATTTGGTTGGTTGCCTGGTTGGCTGGTTGGTCAGCTGCTTTGCATTAACTCAGGGTTAAGCAAAGCAATTTTCAGAGTACGGATTTACGTTGAACATCTGTTTTCAGGCAAACAGCGAAGGTATAAAAGTAGGTCAGCTGGAAGCACACTAAATTGCATACATTAAAAACTTAAGCGAATTAAGACAACAGCAAAATAAGCTGCTTTGATCAGTTGATGTGGATAAAAAAAGAGTCGAGTATATATATGAAATCATCTAGAATATAAACATTGATTTATCAATCAACTCTCAAATCTTGCTGCTGCTAGTTTAATCACTTCCTCATAACTATGTCCAACATTTCCCCCTAAAGTTAGCTCTATCTAAACTAACTGATCTATTTGAAACGATTTCTTAAATTTATATTTTACTTACAATACTAGAAGAAAGACAAATTCAATTTAAAATTAGATATTTTACATTATATTAGTTGAATCAATAAAAGCTCAGCTGCCTTTTCCTGCCTTTAAAGCAAGGATTATTTTTGAACGATTTTCTATTTCTTAGAACTCTAATCAAACTTTATAACCTGTTATAACACAGCGTAATATAATAACATCTAATGATCGTTAAATTTACACTCACATTGAGCTTAGAACAAATTGCCCATCAAAGTTGCCAAAAAGTGCCTTGAGCAAGCAGCTGCCAAGGTTCCTTCAATACAAGTCCAAAATTTACACACAACCACCCACATTGAAAGACCACCAATCATGTAGTTGAGAGTGTTCCGATAGCATATACCCTGTACCAATTTGTAGAAGTTTATTTTAGATTATGGGGTTTGCTAAAAGTTCTCGACACAGTGGACAACTATTTTAAAAAGTGAAATGCATCGATTCGTCTAGAAATATTCATATATATTCAACTCATTTTTTGACTGTCGCATTTATTGCCGCAAATTGGCAATACTCTATTTGTGTGTGTGTACAGGATATAAAAGCGCCTCAAAATACGCGCAACAAAAGGGGGCATAGCCAAGCCAAATAATTGAATAAAGAGCTTCACACAAAGTGATGTCGAAGACTTTTCCTGTGATGAGACTTTATCCTAACTTTCGGCACAGCTGCGACTAGGGAAAATGGGGCAAATAAAAGCAACAGCAAAAGCAGCAGCAGCAGCATCAAAAGCCCGCAGAAATTGCTGGAGAGCCAACAAATAATCTGTACGCAAATTAAAACAAAAAGCGAAGAACCCCAATGAAAATTAAATGAAAGAAGCGTGTGCCCAAGTGTGATTAAAACTTTTGCCAGCGTATATGGGGAGCCGGTGCTTCCTCAACATGTGCAAAATACTCATAATTGGTAATTTTTATTTTTCTTTTTATTTTTTTCTCTCATTGTCATCGTGGCTGCTAATCGAGGTGTTGGTTTGGCAGGGTTACCGAGACTTTAAAATCCACGCTCAATTGGCATAATACTGTAATAAGCAACATTTGGCAACGAATCATTAAAAAATAAATAAAAACAGGGGCTGAAACAGGGCTGACAACCCCCTTTTCGGTCAGGGGTTGCACTTGCCAGACGAGGACGCACCTTGCCACGCTTGCAACGCTTGCCTCAGTTGTCTGTCGTTGCTGGGCTTATAAAGGATTAACACGGTGCACAGCAGCAATTTGAATAGGTGGCACAATTGGAAAATTGTTTCAAGCGATTGCCCAACAAACGGCAAGTGACACCAACCACCAAAAAAGAGACGAACCGACATAAAGAGTGACAAACAGGCGAGGGTATAGCCAGTCTAAGCCCGGTTATGTCGGCTGTTGCCTTTCCCATCATGCGTAATTCTATTTGTCATTTTGATTATGACATTGTAATGCTTTAATTGATGCCACAGAGATACACGGCCAAATGCCAAACGCTTCTGTGATGGGATTCTGCACAGACTGCAAAAGGCAATCAACCCTCTTACTATGTATGGCTAGACGACTATGATGTGACAAAATGCCCTTCCTTTCTTCTTTTTGATTTTCGATTGTGTGTTACGTGTCGCGTCTGACAAATCCTATAAACAGCCCGAGGTGAGGGCGTCTGTTTTTTTTTTTTTGGCGAAACGCTTTGAAACTTCAATGAATTTTAAATTGATAGTCTACAATGATGTTCAGTAGTATAGTGTCCGATTTTTTTCACAGAAAGCAAAGCCATGCTCGTCATTCAAGTTGGAGTATCTAATCCAAAGAAAATGGTTATTTTTGTAGAAGGCAATTGCTAATTAGAACTTTAAAAAAGTTTTCAACGATCTTTGTGGAAATTAGTTTGAGAAATGTTTGGATAGTTTCGATGGAAATCTACCTCCCATTAGTAAAAAGACTGATGGACTTCTAGTTCTATGTGAAGCATCATGGAAGACATGGGCCCTAAGGAACGAGGGCTAGAAATGGCCTTCTGGTGGAAAATTGGAAAATTTGTAGTACAAGACTTGACCGGGTTAATACCCACTTGTACTTCATTCTACTTGCATTTATTTATTATTTTATTTACTATAAAGTCGAAGTCAATTCAACACCATCTTCAGCAGTTTACACTTAAACGTGCAGCACTGTGTGAGATTGTGCAGTGTGCAGGACAATTGCGGCAAAAGGACTTGGACGTGGTAACAAATATGTATGCAAGAGCCTAAAATTGCGTTTGGGTCGTTGTTGTTGTTGTTGTTGTTGCTACAACAACAGAGCAACAGAAACCGAAACAGTTATTTTGTTGCACGCAAAGCGACGACAACGGACACGCAACTAAAATTACGAAGGACATGTGCACAATTTTGCAACAAAAAACCTACAAGGATAGCAGCAGGCAAATTGCGGCAAGCGAGAGAAAATGTTGCACGCCGCCGCTGACGTCGACGTCGTCGTTGTTCCACCTGAGCGACGTTCTTGGGGCGATGGCGTGTTGCGTCTAGGGGGCGAACACAGCGAGTCAGGGGAAGCGGCAGCTGTTGTTTCTAATGCAACGCACAGTGGGCATGAAATATTGTTGACAGGTGAAAATGCTACACACAGACAAACAAACAAACAGACTGAAAGACAGACGGACAGACGCAGACACGCGCGAGTTAACGACACTGAAACACGACAACGGCAGATAAGCTAAAGCCAGGCATGCTTAGCTCTGGGAACACTTCGAACGAGCCCAAGTCAGTCAGATAGTATTCCAGAGAGTTGAAAGGAATCCAAACTCAAACTAAATAGCAGCAGCAACAAGAAAAACTGCCACTGATCAAAATTAAATGTTCGCATTGACTCTCTTTTTTGGAAGAAAGTGAGCACTGGTCGAGCCAGCGGTCGGCTAATATGAAAAGGTGGTGGCTCCGCAGCCATATCAGAGGTGGAGCTGAAGTTGGATGCGGGGCAGCACGACTTATGCCGACTTCACGTGCTGCACTGCCATTTGGGCTGGCTTCCCAGAGGACCAGACCGGTAATAAGTGAAAGTGTGTGTTGTTAGCTATGCGTGTCTGTTTGTGTGTGTGTGTGTGTGTGCGGGTGTGTGCTCGGGTGTGTATCGCTTAAATGGGAGCACAAATGTGGCAAGTGCTACAAGCTAAAGGGTGAGCCTCGATACGCGCCCCATAGGCACGGCTGCAGCCATGGGGATTTGGTGTCAGTTTCCAACCCTTAGTGCACCTCATGAATAACTGATTAACTGCATAATAAATTAAAATATTTGTCACTTATGTTCACATGGTTTGAATTGTTTTCATTGCTATTCAAATATTACAAAGATATCTGAAAATAAAAGCTGAGAATGGAGATCATCAGTTTGGGATTTTAATGTGTGTTGTGCATAGTTTTAAAAATTTAGAGAAATACTATTTAAATATAGAATGTCCTTTAATATACTTTTTTGTAAATATTTGTAATACTTTAAAATTTTTTATTATTTGGATCAGCATATTAAGATCTTACAAAATAAATATAATAAAATACACTCAGTCCTTGAGGAAAATATTTATTTTTTTAGTTTTATATATTAAAATCTGGCAAATTTTCCAGATTATTGAGCGTAAAATCCAAAGCGAGCCAATTTTGCAATTATATTTTTAAATATTAAAAGTTTTGCCGAACTTTCAATATGGCTCAGTTCAGGGTTAACTTAGGTTGTGTTTCGGGCAACTCATCCGATTTAAGGTTCGGTTTAAGTGTGAGGCCAATTTTAATTTTGATTAAGGCTTAAATATATCTTGCATTCTTGATATAGGCACCTTTATCTAAACGTAGTGCTAGTAAAAAAACAAGCAACACAAGACTTTAAAATCGATTACTGCGCGAGAACTCGTGTTCTTTTTGTAAAACTTTTATCCGCACGCACAAAATGTGCATTTGGTAAATGTAAGGCAAGAACTTGGGGCATTATAATTTAGGCAACTGCTGTTTGCCTTTGTTTTCCATGCAAGCACGTAGCACAATTCTCAACTTTGCCTCTAATGTTGCTGAAAATTGAATTTCTTATTAGAATAATTTCTTTTTTTTTCGTGAAAATGCAACGGCAACAATATAAACCGAAAGTGATGGGCAAGAAGATGCCCTGTACTTCAAAGAGGCGGTTTTATGATTTTAGTAAAGCGCCAAAAATTAAAGTGAAATACAATAGCTTACACATAACAAGGGCATCTCCTGAATAAATGCGTTGGGGATGTCCTCAAAGGAAATGCACCCTTTATATGCATTTTCAAATATAGGGTATAAAAACATTGTGTGCATTTGCCTGTGACTACAACAACAACGACAACAACGTTAGGCTTTCGCGTTGCGTTGTTACGTGCTTACGTAAAATGACGGCGCCGCTAGGCAAATTTGTTGCTGTCCTGTCTACGACAAATGAACAAAAAAATGGGACTGCGCAGCGCGCTTTCCATTTATTTATTTGATTATTTTAGTTTGTTGTGTGCGGCGCACAAAATTAAATGAAATGTTTATTCAAACGTTTAAATTGCTTTAAATATACAAAAAAAAAGAGAAAAAGAGCGTCCCAACAAAGGGGAACAAAATGTTATGCCAAAGAGCCTGCCAAGTTGTCGCCAAGTTTGTTGTTCATGTTGTTGCCGTCGCCTTGTTCTTTTTATCTCGAACTACTTTTGGCTGACTTTGCGCCAGCTATCGTTATCGTTTATCGTTAAAGTGAATCATGTCAACCGCATAGAAAGGGGGGCTTCAGCCCGTCAACCACTCGTAGCCGGGCAACATCTTGGATTACCATAAAGAATTTCCTTCCTGTTTGGCCATTCGCTCACTGCATGAGTCTAGGCGGCATTCATTTTTCATATATCCTGATCCCCTATGCGACCCATGCCTTTGTTAAATTTAAAATGCCAGCAACAAACGGCAGGAACATCACGATTGCTTCCTTTAAGAATGCTTGACTAACCCATACCCTTTATTCGGGACTTTGATATGCTAAGAACTATATGCATAATCTGTATTTTAGGTATGTATACTGATTTGTATTAAGGGCGCAAAACAAATTTACGAATTTGCTTCTGCATCCTTGCCTAGATACCCTTGCTGTTCATTCATATGTACAGGATATAACATCTAAAACGATTTTATAAATGAGCTGCCGCCGCAAGCAGGAAACAAGCAAATCGTTCAAAATGAATCCTTGCCAAAAAGGCCAAAGGATGCTGGTCCCGATTCACACTCAGACACACTCACACATACACACACAATCACAGGCACACACACAAAATCCTGATGGTCAAAGCCAAAGTGCAATGTCCGTGATGACTTGGCAGCAAAAAGGGCTTCATCCTGAACTAGGCGACAACACAGCCACTCCCTAAATTCAAGCTTCGAAGCTAAGTTTTTGTTTATATTGACTGGCAGGCAACTTCATGTATTTCTCCCCCCTCCCCAAAAATGCCCCAATACAGCAGCAATCAATCATGTGGTTTAAATTGGGGTATTTGTTTAAGGCGCTAAATTTTCAAAATTTCCGTTCGTCTCTGATAAGGATGTGTGTGTGTGTTAAGTCCTGTGTGCCTGTCACTTGACCAGAACCTTTTTCTGAGGTTACGTGTTGAAGCGTTGGGGCTAAAGTTTAAAGAGCATATTTGCTGATAGCCAAATCGAATCTTCAGAACAAATTTATTTATCGTTTTTATACAGAACGTAAAAGTAGATGTAAAGTAAATCGGTAAACATTATTTTAAATGCATAAATATAAAAAACGTTGAGAAGAGCTTGATGCTAGGCTGTTTAAATATTCTCTTAATTTTCCATAGTTGAGTAACTCTTTTATTGTAGGGCATTCAAAGTTACTTACACTGACTACTCGAGCAGAGCGCACGATTGTTTGTCAAATTACAATCTAACAAAAGCCGCTGGTCAATGGCAAGGACTAAAGTAAAAGTTTCAGTTATTTGCTTTGCAACAATTTTACACAGAGAGAAAAAGCTATACCAAGTTCATAGCAACGCTTTAATTAATTACAAATGCCTTAATATAAGAGTAGGTAACTCGATAAATGTTAAACTTTCAACTTGCTAACAATAAGTAACCAAAATCTTTCTTTAAGCTCAGATTCGACCACACCTATTAGAAAAAACAACTTTTTGCGTTTATTTTAAGGTTTTAAGTTCGTTATTTTTGACAGCGGATGCTCGCAGAATAAATGTTGTAAAATAAAGAAAAATATTTTTGAGATTTTTTGTGCTTGAAAGTTAATCTATTATTTTTCACAGCCAATACTTGCCAAAGAAGTCAGTAAAACCTTAAAGAAAATGCTTAATAGCTGTAAGTTTTTTCGAGCTTTTTTGAACGTTAATTCGTTATTTTATTAGAGCGAATACCCGTCAAAGAAGTTTGTAAAATCTTAAAGAAAGTTTTTAAGAATTTTAAAGACTTTAATACTTGTTTTTTCGCTGTGTATAAGCAATCTGTGGTTGGGTGGCTCCCATTGGATGGTTAATATAATGGAGGCCACCTTATGGCGGGCCCGTATTAATCATGCGCCTGTCACCTAGCGTAAATATTGTAAAATGAGTGGAAAATGAGCCAAAGCTGCCGCTGCCGATGCTGCAGCTGTTGTTGTTGTTGTTGTGACAATGTTGTAATGAACTTGCCAGCAAAAGTTTCTCGTAGAGCAGCAAAGTTTTTTGAGATATTCCGACCCCAGGCAGCTAATGAAGTGGCAAGTGGCATGTGAGCTGGAGGAAATATGCCCAGGCCAAGGCTTCAAATTTGTGTAAATTATGTCATGTGGCTGCAAAACCACAAAAGTTAACGCCAATCGCTGCTTTAACAATAATTGTCGACTGTACTTTTGACATTTGGAGATACTGGCAACTGATGATTGATAGGTCAAGAGAGCCAAACGCATGCACATAAGCAGCTTAACAATTTGTCAAATAATTGCATTTCAAAATATCCTAACCATACATATGTGTGTGCGTGTGTGCACTTCACACACCTTTGGGTAGCCCAATGCAAACATATTACAAAGTGATTTCTAACTCAATATTGGGCAAGGCTTAATGTTCCTGTTTGTCTGTCTGTGCTTGCGTAATTCCCCGCAGTCTAATAACATTAAGGTGTGTGCGAATATTATGAAAATGACCGCAAAATGCTGTACAATACAGGATACGATGCGGTGGTTAACGCCATTTAAGCCACAAGTGTGCTGCAAGAATATATACTAAATGTTTTGTTTCTGATCAAATACACATACCATATGCACATACGCATCCAACAACTACTATCGCAATATATGTAATATTTATGTAGAAGATAATTGTGTGTAGGCCGTTTGCCTACATGTGGGCAAGGCATTTGTGCATTTAATGTTGTGTTAAATTGAAAATTTGCATAAAATATATGTTGTTATTTATTTATTGGCAGTATAGGCTAAGGTGTGCAAACACACCTGAGTATTTGTGCAGCCAGCTGGCAACTAAATATTTGATGCAATTTGTGTGGCAATTTAATGGTTTAGCTATCCAAACACATATATAAATTTCTATAAATACAAAATGCATACATGTGCACCAATATCAAAGGAATTTCTCGGTGTGCGTTTATCGAAAGGTCATTTTGGAAAGTCTAGCATTAAAAGGATAAAGGCAAATATGCTAGCTAAGTGTTTAAAAGTTCAAAGATCAATACATTTGGGCAATTTATTGCTACAGTTTAAGTTGTTAAGTGCAAAAGAAAGGTTTCATAACATAATATGTTAAGGAAGAGATATTTCTATTGAACTTATTAAAGCTGGAAATAACAAAAAGAAGGCTTTGATTTGTTTGATAATTACGATAAAGTTAAGACAAGTAGCTTTTATTATTTCCTAAATTACAATGCAACTAACTAGCCAATAAACAAGTTTTTTCAATTTAGATTCCCATCCCAACTCTCTCATAATTTTACAGGGCAGTTGCGTAGCTGCGAAGCCAAATGACATGCGTTCAAAGTTAAATAATGGCAAAACTAATTTGCCAGCACTTGCGCTAATCTCAATTTCAACTTTTATTTTATTTAAATTTGATACTTTGTTACCCAATGATAAAAACAAAGCACTCGGTGCCCCAAACGCAGCTCTCAGGCGGAACTTTATGTGTTGCCGCGAAATCTCAAAACAATCAAAGTACGAGAGTGCAACAAAAAATAACAACAAAAAAAGCTAAAGCAAAAAATAACAACAAAAGGGCCAACTCAAATAATATGGCAGGGCTCAGTTGTTGCTGGGGCTGTCGTGGGCGTTGATGTTTGCTCAAAATACATAACAACAACAACAACAACAACGAGAACAACAAGAGGAGGAACCGAAAGCCAACTTCAACTTTAGTGCGAAAACTTTTGCCACTTAACTTTTGTGAATGCAGGCAGGCGGCAAGCGAGGTGCTCCCCAATCCGAATCCGAATCCCAGGGCCAGTTACAGGCCCTCCCCTTTGAGCCGGGGCTGCCTCAAATGCCAAAGCAATTAAAATTATTGCTGGCGAAAAAGTAATATTTTTCAAGTGCTAAATAAACACACTATAAAAGCCGCGAACGCGAGCCGACAACCGAAGTCAATATAAGCCTGTTCGCCGCTAGATGGCGCTGCGAGCTCACACACACACACCCGAACACACAGCGAAGACGCGCACAAAAGTTGATTCAATGATGTTCTCAAGAGTTATTTACATATGCAACGCGCACAGAAAACTTCAGCAAGCGCCAAGGAAAACTCTCCTTACGCTTTCCACCCAGCAAATATTTGGCCTCCGCCTTTTTAGCTATGCCAAATCGCTGGACCGACTTCTTCTGCTCTCGATTGGCATTGCGGGAAGAGTTGAAGTTGGTGTTGAAGTCGGGCGGAGGGTATGAAGCCTCTTGAAAAGTTGCTGGCGCCTGATGGACCGCTTGATTGCCTGCTTGGGTTCTGATATGCGAGGAAGACAAACACAAGTAGTTAGAAGATGAAATTGTTATGTGCTTGCTGGGTACGAAGGCAATTATGATAATGTTCAAGTTTTTCAGGTTGCCACCTCAATGGCCGGCTGTTAATTAAGTTCAAAACAACAAAAAATCTGTTGAGCCGCAAAGTATTTTTAATATATACATATAATAATCGTCCACCTTAGAAGTTGAGGTAATATTGGTATATAGGCTGGGCTGGAAAATCAAATTATAATAGAAGCTTATATATTTTAATAATTTGCCTCTTATAAATAAGACTCATTGCCAACTAAAAACTTGAAAGTAATTGAATTGAACATAGCTCTCTTTAGTAAACGATCAATTACTCAAGAAGTGAACATCAACATCGTTATCATATTTAAAGAGAAAATCCCCTAAAGTTTATAAAAAGTCAGCTATTTTTTTTAAGTATTACCATTTGTATAGAAGAAAGTTCGGTTGCGAGAAACGACATTTCCTTCTTATTTCCAATCAATGTCCAGCCTTTTTTCTATCTCGGTCCATCTTCTCAATATCCATATCTCTCCCCTTTTGCCCCTTTGACCATCTGTTTCCGTATCTCTGACTTTTTTCCATATCTGACTAACTTTGAGTCTATTTCAATGAATTTCCAGCCTATTCTATATCTCTCTTTGTCTCCCTCTCACTCTTTTTACCATCACCTTAATTTTAAATTCACCTGAAGCCTATTATAAACATAATAGTAAAAAAAAGCAAGCGGTAAAATATATGTATTCTGAATTTATGGCTCTTCTTATTTGTTAATGGAACATTTTTAAAGTTTTATGACGTTTGCCAACAATTGGGTAAACACTTTTCATGCCAAAATCAATTGCGGAACCCTTCGGTGTACATGGATTCAGTTAACCATGTGAGCTTGTTGTTTTTATAGCACACCACAAGGCTCTGTGAAAAAGTTTATCGTCAGTTTCTAATAGCGCTCCATTACTTAATACTAAAGCTAACGCCCAAAAGCAATGACGATAAGAAAAAGAAAAAAAGTTTCAGCATTTGCTGAAAATCTCGAAACACACTTTCACCTAAAAGTTGACAGAGTTTCGGGGAGCAAATTGCAGGCAACTTAACCTAAGAAAAAGAAGGCAGCAAACTGTGACAAAGTACCGATGTTTGTGAGAGTAGGAGACAGAGAGAGAGAGAGAGGGGGCGGGGCAGGGGGTGAAATGTGTAAATGTCTATTCGAGTGTAGAATTTGATTGCACTTGGAAAATGTCTTTATGCGAGTGTTGAGCCAAAGTCATCGATGATGCTTTGTCGATTGTCTTTTATGGCTTGGAAAATAAACTTTTGCCCCCCGCGTAAGCCGTACGCTTCGTTGCACCATGGAGTTGTTGCAGTTATGGAATTAAAGAGATTCAGGCGTAAATTCACTTAAATTATGCGTGTAAGTCCGAAGTTGGCCCAAGTTAAGCATCACAATTTTTCGCTTTTAGAATTTGAAACAATTTGCTGAGTCACACACACTCACACATACACTCACATTGGCTATGACCCACATTTATACGCCCGAATTGATTTTCAATGCTGGCAATCAGCGCAGAGCACAAGCTACGCGGCGTATACGCAATGTCCTGCGACCCCAAAACGGACTTACATAGCTGCAGCCTGGAGCCTGTCAGCTATTTTTATTTGCTGTAAATCTGTAACGAAGGCACGCACTATTTTCGGGCTATTGCCCCGATATCCTCATATTGGATACTTTGTGCCGAGTCTGCAACAATCCGCAGACCCCAAAATGGGCTACCTTCTGGTTTTTATAATTTAATGCCTGCTTGAGTAAAGGCTGCGTATCCCCTAGCTATGAGTTGTGCATGTATGTTTTTTGGGGTTTTCGACACATAAACTACAACATTTAATTGGTTCGGCAACCTTGGCAAACACTTGGCAGCTCACGCGTTTGCTGGCACGTCTTTTGAATGCATGAGAAATTTGTTTGCATATTTAATGCAATTACCAAAGGGTTTTCCCATCGGAACAGGTTAACAAAACCAAAAAAAAAAAAAGGGAAAACCTCTCGCAAACTAAAATTGATTTACCTGACAGCTCGGTATCAGAACCTATAACTAGCCCAGTAAAGGGTAAGTTATGAAATTAGTAAGAACAGGTAACTTTTATGCATAAGCCTATTCGATTTGTTAACAGAAAAATACGATTTGTAATACTCCTTATTTCTTATACACTTACCAACTTATTGACATCCACATTAGTATCTGTTGATACTTAGATGATTCACTAAAAATAAAAATAAAATAAACTATTAGTAGTAGTTGGTCAAATCTCATCCAATTTTAACAAGGTTTGGATATTTGTTCATGCCTTAGCCCCTATATCAATTTGGCCACATTTTTGGTAGTAGTCCCAATATATAGACATAGGTCAAAATTCCCCATCCGATTTTAACCCTGTTTGGCTCTTCGTTTATTAACTCCACTGTAGAATTTTTGCAGAGATTCCCTACTTTTTGACGAGGATAGCTGAACTTAAACTTATCTATCAGACTCAAACCGTGCCAGTAGTTTCTCAACCCATAAATATCGTCATGCTGAGTCTTTGCAGAAATCTTTTATTTCAGTTTTTTTGCCTGCTCTTCTTGCATATATTACACACATTCAAAGGCCAATTTCGTTAGCCGAAACGCAAGTTATTTGCTCATTAAAAGGCCAGGCCAACAATTTCAGAGTACAGCAATTGTTAGGCTGATGCCAACAACAACAACAATAATAACAACTGCAACTGCTGGCCGCAAGTTCCAGTCCCTTTGCGTGTCCTCGGCATTGGCATCATCTTTGGCGGACTGCCAATTTGGCCAGCGGCGAAGAGTTGTTTGCTCCACTTGAAGCTGCGCCGCTGGCGATATTTCACTTGAGGCGCAGATCGATCCACATGCATTGTGGATCAGGCTGCTTGTCTGCCTGCCGGCTGGCTGTATTGGGCTTATCACGCGAATCTGTCAGATAAAGTTTGCATACGTGCACATACATAACTGGCACAAGAAGGCGGTCAGTTGGCATTTGGCTGCCCCTTATATGCCCCCCGTGCAACACCCCTTTTTGCTGGCATCTCACGTTCCGTTTCTGTTGGGCCAACGTGGCTTGCAATTAAATGTTGCTGTTCTGTTTTGTTGTGTTGTGTCCGCTTTTGTTGCATGTTAAACATGCTGCCGTACAACCTGCTACTGAGGCAGGCAACTTTCGTTGCAAGCAGTGCGCAGTTGCAACAATCGTGATCTTATCATTTTCCTGCTTTGTTCATGTTCGATTTTGTGAATTTGTTTTACTTACTATCTAGCTATCCGACTCTCGATATTTACTCGTACTTTTTTCATGACATTTCCCGACCGCATTTGCAAACAGACCGCGTCCACTCTCAGATCTCTCTGCCTGGCCATGCTTTATTTTCCATTTAAATAATTTATAAGTAAAAATCTTTGTGCATTGTCCCGATCGTGATAAGCTTTGACTCTGCGATGAGACCGTTTTTTAGTTTTTGTGTTCTTTTTTTGCATTGTCTCTCATATGAAAAAAAATAAAATAAAATGTATTTAATTTATTGAGGCTTACTGTAGATTTATGGTCAAGCATTTGCGCTTATTGGACATTAATGTCAACAAATATTAAGAAATTGTCGATGCCAGAGATGTTCAATTATTTATATATATAATATAAAAATGAAAAAATAAATTTGGGCTTATATATATTAATAGCGTTCAATATTTAATTTAATTACGCAAAAAAAATAATTGAGCTCTTTGATAGCACAACTTAAAATATGATATTTTTTTAAACCATAAATCAATCAAGAGTTCGATTTCCACCACATTTCCATACTTGTGGAAATAACTAAATCAAATTAAACTGGCAGACAGAAAAGCTCCGTTCGCAATTGGAATCAAACATAAATGAAATAAAAATTCTTTGCATACTAAATTCGTTATCTCCTGAAAATTTGTATGGCAGACATAACGTTCGAGATGATGTGCTAAAACCCCTTCAATAATTAAATATAAAAAATATATATATATGAATATTAAAAAAAATGTTTCGCTTGGCAAACAAATTCCAATTTAGATTTGCCAAACGTAACGAAACGTACTAACTGTAACTATCTACAAATATATTTTAAGGTTTTTTAAATTGGTTTTGCAATTTGGTAGCGTTCGTTGTTATTGGTGTCGCCGCAGCACCATCGAGATACTCATACTTGAAGATACACAGCACGCGATATGCAAAAGATACAACACACAGACACACACAGCCAGAGACAGACAGAGCTCCCAGCAGGGCTGAGCAAATAACGGTAGGTAGCCGGGTAGCTTGGTAGCTGGAGCCAAGCGAGTTGGTAGCTGGTTGCCATCGTCTCATCGCCATGGCCTCCCATTTACCCGCCTCTCCCATTCTCCTCTGTCGTCCGTCAGGTCGTAGATGTTAATCGCTGCGGCACTTTGGAGTAAGTGGCATTTGCAGCGTCCACAACTACAACAACCATCAGCAGCAGCAGGAGTAGCTGGGGAAGGAGTAGAACGCTGGCAGCGTTGCTCCACTCTTGATATGACCAACCCACCACTGTCCCTTACCTAGTCGGAATGGGCGTGGCCGATGTCAGTCCAAGTCCAACGTTCGTGGCAAATGTTTGCGGATTTGAATTTAAATTGAAATAGGATGTTGTATATTCAAATGAATTTTAACTTAAGGGTAAATGGGGGGGCGCAGTAGCATTGCACTCCAATGTGGGGTTCAGATTAACATCATCAGTTTTGGCATTGATTGCTCGTAGATAGCACACGAAAGTGCCGCGGGGCAGCACATGTAACCGCAGCCGAAAAAAAAAAATAAATAAAGAAAATTGATCGAAAATTGTTAAGTACCCTGCAACGAATCGTTTATACGCTTAAACGGCGCTTAAAATATAGTTTAATCTTCTAATTCTAGGTAGAATAGTAAAAAGGTAGAATAATAAAAAGTTATATTTAATTTATAGAATGGCATTTACGTCATATTAAAATTCACAAATTTAAATCCTTATTAATTAAGTTTTTACAAATTTTATACACAAGACAAGATACACATAAGAAATATGCATGGTGCACTTATTTATTGACAAGTGTCTAAAACAATGTTCGTTAAATACAAATTTAAAAATGTTATTGCAGCTTCTGTGAAACACTTCAACAATGTTTTTCACAAATGTGCACCCAACAGCTGCTTATTAAAATCGACATACTCTAACTGGGATTTTTAAAAGTTAGAGCACAGCATGTTATATACGTTTGTTCGTTCACGGAAAAAGAAAAACTAATGGGTTTTGTAATAAGTTTTAGTTTTCATGTTTATATTAGCATGCTAATAGTGGCAATTGCCATAGATGGGTCTGTGGTTGTGCTCTCCCTCTCACTTTATATTGAAACTGTGGTGAATGTTTAGCTCAGTTTAAGCCTCAATATTGGCATAGGCAATTTGCTTTTCATTTGGTTTTTAGTGGACAGTGCATCTCTTCACCTCCCAACAGGTAGGAGGTAACTGTTATCTGGGCTTACCTTCATGGGAACTGGTAACTGAGAACTAGACTTTGTTTGCATGGACGTGCTTCATGACGCCCCCAAGAAGTGGAAAACTAGCTGATAAGCTGCAAAGCTGGGCACAAATTATACACATAATATCTGACAATATGCTGCACCCCAGCAAACAAGCCATAAACGATAATTAATAGAGAGATAATCTAAGCGCTGGGCTCCGTGCTATGGATTGGCTTTGACAAATCGCCTGGCATGGCAATCGAAATGAATTATTTTCCCAACCAACGGGCCCCTAGCTGAAATTTCCACGAAAATGCCTCCACCAAAAGCATTGCTGACATTGACTGGGAGACAACAACAACAACAGCAACAGCAATGAGGCCATGTAACCATAAATCTTTTAGTTTTTGGATTTTTTTTTCTTGCCTCCCGCTTTCCAGAACTAGAATTCTGGCCAGGCTGAGTGACATTTGTTTTGGAGGCAGGCAAAGACTTCGTCTTCATTTGCAGCCCAGTTTCGTTTTATTAAAAACGTTTAAGAGAACACGATCTGGAAAACAAACCAAGGCTTGTCTGTTAGGGCATGGGCAGCTCCAGGCACGATTTTTCGTAACGAAACGAGACACTTTAGAATGCAATCGAACAGAGAGAAAGACAGAGAGTGAGAGAGAAATAGCGAGAAAGCTGGAGTGTGCTGTGCCACAAGCTACAGGTGGTTAATCACCAATTAAGCGCTACATCATACAAATTTGTAGCCACAAAAAATATACAAAATTGAACCCTTTTTCTTTATTATGTCGTACTATTTGTCACTTGTCGTTGCGCGCCAAAGCGAGCCGAGAACGGGTTCCAAACTAAATACCCAAGCTATCATGCCGAGCGGCAAAAATTGAGTTGATTAATAAATGTGCCCGAGCTTACAGAACTCATTCCGGTCTTTTTTTTTTTTAATATATATATAGAAATTTTTGGTTACGTTTTTTATGAACTCGTATCGCATAAATCTCAACTAATTTTGTGTAATTAGTTTGCATAATCTGTCACGGTCGGTTTTTCTTTATACAGCGACACAATGAAGCTTCGTTTGGGCTTTGGTCTTGCATGCTTGAAGTGATTATTTTAATAAATGATTTTCTATTGATTTTTAAATACTCGAGAAACCGCGGTATTTTGTCAAGGTATGGACAAATTATGGAGTGGGCCAATTTTCCAGAAGTTGCCCAATTAATTATCAAGCAGATAAAAGAGTTGCCAAAGTTAAGATAAATTTCGACTCAACAGCACGAAAAAATGGTTTCTGGCTTTAAGATTCGCTGATGAAACGATAGATACGGTGGCTGTTAAGTCAAAAGAAGTCCAGGCTTCAGTCAGAAAAATATGGTAACAAATAAACCAGCAGCATTTTACAGAAGATTAACAATATTTTGTAGTTCTATAAAACGAAATATTATTTTCGTAAAGAGAGAGTTCTTAATATGTCGCACAGATATCAAGCTACAAATATTTCTTCAAGGGCCTTAAAGCTATTATTCTAACAAAATAATTTATCATAATATATTTTGTCGCACTTTTCGTGTGCATAGTCGAAAATCATTTTCAATTCAAAGCAAGCAACCAATCACATAACATTAAAACAATGGTATATAAGCTAATTTTCTGCTCACATCTAATGAGAATACACATATACCGACACAGAAAACAATTCATTCAAAAAACTAAACTCAATTTGGCAATATGCGCGACGCCAAACGGCAAACAAAATACCAAATTTATAGAATTTCATACTCCATTTTCATTTTGCTCAAAACGCTATGGAAAATCAAAGGCCCGTCACACGGGCAAACACACCAAATAAACCACAGCCAAAAAAGGCTAGAGTGTTTGACTAAAACATACCCTCTACAAAGCTATAAGTGAAGCATTAGAAAAGATTTCAGCTCCTTATGTCGTATAAACTATGGCGCCTTTAAAGCGAACGATAAATGCTGTCAAGATTTATAGATGAAATTTATATACTTTCATTATAAATTTTAAAAATTGTTTAGAACAGCTTATTTGAAACATACGTACAGGATATTTAAAAAATAAAATGAAAGCAAGCAAAAAGGCTTTTCATCTAAATTCAAATCAGCAAAAACGTTTAATAACGAGTTTAAAAACTCATCAGAGTATTCAAACAATATCAATGGGGTTGCCACGGGGAGTTTATAGATACATTTTTGATGGAACCGTTCAAAAATAGCCGCCACTGCAGCAGAGACGCACTTTGCTGGCCAAATAACAGCAGGACTAACGCAACAATTCACGTGGCGCTTTCAATGCATTCGTCAATCAACGTAGCAGAGGCGAGAGTCTACTCATAATTGAATTCCGCCAGCACAGTTGGAGTCACAGTCGGGGAAGTGTTTTTGTATTATTGGAATTCTCTTTGACGTGCGACGGGGACTAGATCAAAAATCCGCTTCGAGAAAGACACAAAATTATGTGTCCGAAATGGCAATTGGCAGCTAAAGCTAAATTCATTATTTCGATGCTTTAATACTCTTTAGAAGCAAATTGCTTAACCATGTGGAATTATGCTCTCTCTACTTGTATGAAACAGTAGGCAAGAATGGGTGCATGAAAGTTAAAATATTTGCCTTGAGGATGGTTCTCCACAATAAAGATGAACCAATATTCGATAACGTAATATATATAATTATAAGAAATTTATAAAATATTAAACATACGTTTTTAATTAATTAAAAGAATAGAAAACCAGGCATATGAATCGTATCTTAGGCCGCGGCATCAGTTCACACCGTGAATAGAAACACTATAAAATTTTGTAAGGTTTGTAATTGGAATAATTATATCTCTCTATTACCATAAACCGTTTCAGCCCAAAGTCTTTGAGCTTCGCTGTGCATACACAGAATTGCTATGAAAGAAGCGTATAACCGCATTGCGATACCCTTACGCAGGACATCAAACGTGCCATTCATGCAGAGGGCGCGAATATTTTGGCTGCTGTAGATAATGCCTCAATGAATACTGTTTAAAATTCATTTCGTTTATCATCAAGTTTGGGGTTGTCTGGTGGCATGGGTGAAAAGTACTGGAGTTTTGGGAGCTGTTGTTACCCGGGTTGGGTGCCTGATGAGTTTTGGCTGCCGATGAAACTTTTTAAATGGAATTTACGCTGCAAAATCGCGTTTTCAACGAAATGAGTTTTAATTGCAAGTTTTCCTAATGCAGGCAACGCACGCAGTCGTCGCTGTTGCGTGTATTCACTTTGTTGTCATCATTGTTGCTGTTGTTGTTTTTTTGTTTATTATTGTTGTTGTTGTTGGTGCAAATTCGTTAAAATTTCTGCCACGTTTCCCCTTAAATAGCACAAAATTATGTTCTTTATGATAATTTGTGTGTGCGTATGTGTGTGAGTAAGCCCGTGCCAGAGACCTCGACGTTAACTCGTTAGCTCTTTTATTTGAAATTTCAATGTTGCCAAGCAGCCGCAAGTGTTGCCAACCATATAAACATAGTGCACCCTCCATTTCGCCAACAAATGCAACACTTCAGCAACAATGCATTAGTAAACAGGTGCAGGGACAGCACATTTTCGGCAACAAATATGAATGAATATTTCGTGTTAACCTTGCCTATGGTCTGGTTATGGTAAAATGAGGCCTGTTAGTAAAACGCATTTAATTATCTTGATGATGGACATGAGTGGGAAATGTATTAGATTAAGTGGCATTGATTTTCGGAAATACCGCAAATTCATTGAGTATTCAAAGCGAGTTAAAATATTGTACTCTCCAATTAACAAGAACGAGAAGTTCGGTTAATTGTTTGTGTTCTTGGTTTAGTTTGAAGAGCAGACTTGCCTCACTTTGGATGAATTTGACATTCATTAAGAAATTCCAGTTTAATTTAATTCTTGACTTTACTATTTCTACAGAGATATGTTTAATTTATACAAGAGGTTGTGTAATGCTTTGACAGCTCTATTTTTTGCACTCACTGTGCTCAATTTTCAATTTCAACTTACACATTTTCCGATTTTCCATTTCGAAATGAACTTCATCATGGAACTCAATTAAAAAGTTGTAAACCTTTCAGCATGCCTCACCATTTTTGGTGTGCAACTACCTTTTGCGCTGAAAATTGAAAACAAAAAATTGCCGACAACTTCGCTTTGGGCTTACGTAGCCCCACGTACAACCGCCCATGCCCAAAAGCGGAGCCAGCCTCTAGGCGGGCCACGGCGCTCCGTTTCTGGACGATATACAAAACATTAACTGCCATAATTTTCGTTGTTTATTTTTTTGTATATTTGTTTGTTGCCTTTTATATTGCAAATAAACTCCGGTTTCGCTTATCTTTTTTGTTTTTCTTTTGCATATGTATATTTTTATGCAATGCGCATAAGGGCAGCAACAACAATAAACTGCATAAAACGCTGCTGTTGAGTCCTGCTTGGATATTGGTATATGGGTCTGGTTTCATGCCTGCAGTGCGCGCATTTGTTTTTAATTAAAATAAATATTACCATAACCTATAAAATAATTGAAAAACAATTTAACATTATTGCGCGAGCTTCCACGCTCCAACCTTCTGGCCTGGCCTGGCCTGGCCTAGACCGACAATATCCCTTTGCTCATCCAAGTGTCTGTCTGTCTGTCTGTCCAAGTGTTTCTGGTTGCACGTTCAGCTCTTCATAGCGTTTGGATTGCGGTTTACACCTGCCGCTTGCAAGGCAGTTAAGGATCACGCATTTGATTGGCAACACGGCTATTACCCTATACGCACAAGAGTTGGCTAAATAACTAATTATAGGGTATCACTCAATACAAAATGCAATACTCTATCTATAAGAATGCCTTTTCCTATTCTTGCATGCATTTGCTGACAAATTCGCGTTCCCAACTGCACACAATTTAGATCTTTTGACGGCGCTGTCACCTGGTCTCGAATTTACTTGAATTTTCCAATTAAAATTGTCCTCTAATTATATTTTATATTATTAAAGTAAGGGTATACTCATCATTACACTGGGAAAAGTTCACAACATTTGCCCGCTATAATTTATTTTTCAGTCTAAAATATTTTTATACACTGGACCGACGCACAGCCATATATACATACATTCTCACCCGCACATACGCATATTTCGTATTTTTTATATACATATAATTTCAGCATTTTGGCATAATTATATTTTTAACTTTTATTTACTTTGCTTTGCTTTGTGGCAAAATATCTCGTACTTTTGTGCGAAAAAATAAAAGAGCAACCTTCTTTAACTGCAGCAACAATTTTAATAATTATTTAATTAAAAATGTTCGCATGCATATATTTTTTTGGAAATTGCATCTATAAGTGTGCAGCGCAGCTGTTGTTATTGCCGTTTTTGTTGTCTGAGCTGAAGTGCTTGGGGAAAAATAATTCTTTTTGAAGTGTGTGCTATAATAAGAGCTGAAACTTAAGTATGTTGCACAAAATAGTACAATTGCATTTAAAAAGGTCAGAAGGTCATGTTGCAAAGTTTGCAGCATTTTAAACAGAAAATGTGGTATTGAAACAAGTGAATGGCAAATTCTTGTAAATAACAAGTATTAACTTAACTTATAAATAAGTTAATAATTTTATGGTAAAATTCAAATTATATTATTTGTTTTTTTAATTTGATATTTTAAAAACCTTTAATTATGGAGTCAAATTTCTCAAATCCCAGCAGCTTACTTCTTCTTCCCGCCTATTATAAAATGGATAATATAATTTCATGCCTCATAAACCAAAGAATTAAGTACAATTGCAGACAATTGAAAGCTGATATTGATTGCCTTGGGAAAATCGGGCATCAAAAATCTATGAAAATCTGCCTGAGTGCCGATAAGAACAATGATTTTGACCATAATGAGCCGAGTTTAGGTACTCACGCCTCGTTCTCGCTTTTCCTATCGGTTAGTTAGGTAGATCCTGGGCAAAAACTAACTATTATTGTTGCCGGCCCTTTGCCTGTATGGCAACTGCAACCGAATACATCGTAAATAGCATTTGTATGGCCAAAGCATAAAAATTCGCATTAAAATCACAAAACAGTTGCAATTGTCTATCTGGCTGTGTTGTCCGCTTGTATCTCCTTACCTTCTAATCTCTTATAACATTTCCATTAATACGCAGCGGTAGTCACCCTGTTTTTGGCCAGGCAACCGCCTCAATGCCAATGCCAGTGCCAATGCCAATGATGAGAAATTAATGTGCGTACACAATTTCACATTTCACAGATACCCAAGACCTAGCACAGGCTCGGGCTCGGGCTCAGGCCCCGGCCAAGGGACCAGAGTCTTGGCACAGCGTGAGCTGGGCCAGAGCGTTACGGTCGCGCCGCTCAGCGGGACAAAGTGCTAACCATTGTTGGGAAATTTCATGGCGCTCCGCACGGGGTCCAGAGAGTCGTTCGCTGTGCGATCATTCTAAGGTGTAACAAAAAACCCAACGATAGAATTTTGTCAAATGGAAATTGTCGTTTCCGTGGACAGTTTATGGACTGTTGCTGCTGCTGCGTGTTGTCATGCCCATCTTCGGAGCTCTTGCGGCTTAGCGTTTTCACGCCCCTGGTGATGAGCATCGGGTTTACCTTTGACTAGCAGATATATATATATTATGCGAAGCAGTATTGCGCTTTCATAAGAAATAATCATAAGGAGTATACTTCGCAATTTCATAGAAGAACTTGATTTAACCTGTATACAATGCTTAACTTTCATCGATCAACCTCAATCTGGGCCAATTGTTATCGAGCAATACAATAAAGCAAATCGCTCAAAATAAATTGTGCCAAAACTAAGCCACTATTTTAAAAAATACGAAAATATACAAATTCCTTTAAGAAGCAACTTTTTACGTAACACAGCTATTGCTTTATTTTTTTAATGCTTTTGACATTTCATTTCCACTTTTTCCTAATGTGCAAATAACATAAATAAATTTTATTTTTTATATCAACAGCAATTGTCTATATGAAACGCCGCTTCTTGGCACTTTCCCCTTATTGTTTTAACTCAAGAGAGTTTCCATGTTTCAAAAAAAACCTGGACCTCAAGAAGAAGACTTTGAATAGTTTCAACGCCTGTGTCAAGTCGCCCAAAAAAAAAAAATATATGTATATATATAAATAAGCATACAAAACGTGCCCCAAATCACGGCACGTTCAACTTAATTGCCCCGAAAGCTTTTGTATATTTCCTGGCCAATAGATAACAACAGCTGATAAATAGCGCGTCGAATCGAAAGCGCTCTGCCCGGTAGGAGAATGGAGGCGCGTTAACCTGCCCAAAAACACAATTGTGAAATGCTTTAATTTCTGAAGTACCTTAATGAGCATTTTCAACATGGTCATCATACAATCAGCAGCATGAGCAGCGGCAGCAGTTGCGATGGAGCACAGCATGTTGCGTACGAAGTCCGTATTACAATGGCTCCAATATTTGGACCATGGCTCGTCATAATTACAGCCCAGAGCATAGTTTTTATTTATTTTTTGGTTGCTGGATTCTGACTGCCTGCTGTCGGGCTGCGTCAGAATTGGCCCAAAAACAGCCAAAGCCTCAAACAATCTTTAGTTGTATCGGCTTCATATCTGAGCATCAACGGGCGTTGTCTGCGCTTTGGGGAATTAATGATTATGTCCGTGTGGACTGTTGTTGTTGTTGTTGGATGAAGCTGTGGCCGGTTTTGCGGCTTGATCCAGTAACCCTTTAATGCAAACACAGGCCAAATAAGAGCTGCCCAGTAACTGAAACTGAACTCAGCTCAGTAGCTCATTCACTCGACTGCTTTTGGGACTTGGAACTGGGCCTGGGCTTGGTCGCATGAAAGGAAATTGTAATGATCGAAATCAAAATGTTTTCGTTACTTTAGCTCCTAATGAAGCTTGAATAGTGCGAATGACTCTACACAGTTGGCCGCTGGCCGCTGGCCGTTGGCCCCTCGGGGGCAACACAATCGCACCACGCGCCTTTTAATCGAAATTTGATGATGAATTCTCAACTCAAGTCAGCTGAACCTCAAGTTAACTCGGTTCAATTCAATTCAACTCAACTCGACTCGACTCCATTCGACTGGGCTTGATTCTTGAAATGCTACTTTAAGCATCGCTGCTCAAGCGCTTTTATTGTTGGCCATTTGAGGCTTTGCCTTTGCCGCTATTTACCTTTGTTATTTATTTATTGTTATTATAGTACATGCCTCTACTTGTGTTCTGCTTTTTCTCTTCTTTTACCACTCGACTTTTTAATTGCATAAATAGGCTTGGGGTTTGGTTATTTGTATCAGACGTTAACCGCCGCATGATTTGCTTGAAATTGTTGTAGATTATTAAAGATTTCTTAGCTGCTTTTTGTACAGATATTTCACAGTTGCATTTTCTATTTTCTATTGTTAAGCTTTTATGTGCAAACTAGAAAAACGCAATGAACGAACTATTATATTTGCTTATTATTTAAATAAATTTAGTTTGTATGCGAACTCTCTCTCTATTGAAAGCAGCAATTAAAATATTAATAAAATCAAAAAAGATAAAAACCCAGCTTACCTTTTGTACTAATTCCTTGCCGTGTGTCAATTTATACTCAGCCTCATATACACATTTGCCGTGACACTTGCAGCATGTTCCTTTGCATCTGGGAAGAAAAATAAAAATGAAAAAAAGTTACGCACATTGCAGCTTTTTACTTTCAACTTAATTAAAAGTCAGTTAAGAAAAGTAAAATTAATGCACTATTATTTAATGGTAACAAGCTACTTGTACAAAAAACTTTTGCAGCGCTGCGCCGCCAAGCGAAGCGTGGAAACGCAAGTGCGGCCCAACGGAGTATCTAACAGATACAGTATCTGTGTATCTGTGCGTATCTGTGAGTGAGAGTGAGTGAAATGCCAAGCGTGCGCCTATGTGTGTGTGCATAATTTTCAATTCAATGCGTTGCACTATACGTATTCGTATCCCACCCCTTTACTTTTAACCAGCTGCCGCCACCTGCTGCCCCCTCTGGCAGCCGACGCGGCAAGCTAGACGCAAAGTTGCAAGCTCATCGTTGTAAAAATAAAATGGACAGTGGGGAAGTTTTTTGTTTATCAGTTTTTCAAAGTAGTTTTCTTTTGCATATATTTTTTTACGATATTTGCTTAAATTTGCATAAATTTTTTCACTAACTAATAAATACATAGTCATAGCTTACAAATAGGGTTTCTTTTTTTTTTTGTTGATATTTTAACAATAATTTTTGTTCAAATAATTTAAATTAAACTTACAAGTGACTCTCAGTGCTTTTTTTGTTTTTAAATTAATGTACAATTTATGGCTTAAGACTAGTGCTTACGGTCTAATTAAATACAATTTGTTAATGAAAAAATAGTAGTAGAAAGACAGTAAGTAGTTAGGTGCTAGAGATCGCATTTGAGTTTTGGTGCTTATGTACAGAACAATAAAAGTTTCTTTCGAGTTTTGCTTAGTTCTTGCTTGTTTTGTTTTTCTTAGTATTTTCTCCTTTTTTTTTTGTTTTTTTTTTTTTTTTAGTTTTATGTTTTTAAACAGCGCGTACACGTGCCAATTATCTGGCTAATGAAATTCAAATATTTTTCATGGCATACTCGAAATTAAATAAACTCTTTCAATTAACAGACACGTGTAAACTGCGGCTTACAATTGTCAGATATTCGTTAAAATATTTGTTAATTTATATCGTATTAAGACTATTAGAATTTCATATAACTGGAGCTGAATAATATGTTTCGATATTGAAATTTGATAGACGAATTCTTAACTCTCTTAACTGACACGTGTAAACTCAGCGCTTTAGTATCTTATGTGCTCTGCTACTACAATTTTTTCATATTTTAAGTGCAAGTTGTGTGGAGGAGGGGGACGGGGGACAGGGAGGTTTTACAAATTTTGGCATCACAGTTGACAACGACACGAACGACTAAGCATAAATGCTCAGCTGTCTGCGACGATAATGCTCCGAGGATCAGTGCGTAAACTGGCGCATAGTGCTCGTATTATTGTTGTGTGCTGGCGTCTTTTGCTGAAAGGAACGACGTCCGGTGGTGGCACAGAGGCCATTCCGCAGCGGCAACGCTGGCGGCACCGGCGGCGGAGTCGGCGTCTTGTTGCGCCCCATCTGCTCCAGTGGCAGCGAATAGTGGGCATTGCTGTAGATGTAATTGGGATCCATCATTTCGCCGTTAATTGCATCGGCTTCAAAGTCGCGCGGCTCACGTTGCTCGCGTTGCTTGAAGTGTTCGTGGGTGACGCGCAGCTGCTGCGGGGCATGCACCATGGGCACATCCGCATACGAATAGCAGGAATCAGCCACGGTGGCGGTGGCAGCCAGAAACTGCGGCTTTGTATAGTGATTGAGCTTAGACTGGTGTGGATGTTGTTGTTGCAACTGTTGTTGTTGCAGCTGATGTTGTTGTTGCAGTTGCGCCTGCTGCTGTTCACGCCCCATTGTGGCCGTCTTCATGTGCAGCACAAAGCTGGCGCTATCATCGACGCTGCCCGCCAAACTCTTGTTGTTGTTCAGTTTCTTCTCGTGCATCAATGTGGCCGTTATGGGTACCTGCAGCTGCTGGAACTTGTGCTGGCCATCGACAGCATTCAAATCATTGATGGGCATCGGGCACATGCCATAGTGATGATGCGGGGCAGATGCAGTTGCCTGATGTGGCGCCGTATAGGTGTTCGGGAAGGTGGAGTGTATGCCCAGCGAGCAGGGATGGTGCTGCAGACGCGACATATAATCCTCATCGCAGAAGGTCTTCTGATATTCGCGCTCCTTGCGACCCAACGCCGAATTGCCCCAGACTCCGCCCTTGAGATACTCGCGGATCTTATGACGGCAGCGATACAAGACCAGAGCCAAGGCGGTAATCGTTGCAGCAGAGCCCACCAGTAGAGCACCAATCAGCGCCTGTTTGCGTGGATCGGTGTGTGTGCAGCCCATGAGCGTGGGATTCAGGTGTTTCAGTGCCTCGCCACGCAGACGTTCGGGAAACTCACAAAGCAGCTCGGTCAGCTGATCCTCCTGGCTGGCATTCTTGGCTATCAACAGATTGCGCAGCCACATGACGCGACAATCGCAAGACAAGGGATTCTCGGATAGATCCAATGTGGTTAAGTCCTTCCACGGGAAAAGACCTTCAGCCAGTGAAGTCAAGGCATTCGCTTTCAGCACGACATGACGCAGATGCGGCAGTCCACTGAGTGCGCCCTCCTGCACTTCCACAAGCATTTTGTTGGAGGACAAATTAAGATACTCCAGATTTCCATTGGCCGCAAAGGCGCCGGTCATAACACGCTTTAGTTTAAGTGCACCATTGATGTCTAGTCGTTTCAGCTGCTTCAGACCCACAAAGGCTCCCTCGCTGATCAGCTCAAAATCGTTTTGGCCCAACGACAGTTGCTCCAGACGCACCAAGTGACTGAGACCTACGGAGGGAATGCGCGGCAGGCGATTGTCAGAAAGATCCAAGACGCGCAGCTCCTCCAGACCCAGGAAACTGTCATGCGAGATATTCTGCAAGCTGGCGCCCTTCAGCTCCAAGCGTGTCAGGCCCTTCAGATCCTGGAATGCGCCCGATTGTACGGTCAGCAATGAGTTCATGCCCAGAAATAGTTCCGCCAAGCTGGGCATGGCCTGGAATATGACAGGATCTGGCACTGAGGTCAACGCATTGTCATCCAAATACAAAATACGCAGCTGTTTCAGACCATCAAAAGCCTTGGGATCTATAAATCCAACGCGATTCTCGCCCAAGTTAAGTTCCTCTATTTTCAGCAACGGCGAAAATGTGCCCTGATGCAGTTCCGAGATGAGATTGCCACGCAAATTGAGCACGGTTACCGCAGATAGGCCCATGAAGGTCTTATTGCTAATCTGGCCAATTTTATTGTGATTCAAATGCACCTCCTGCAGTTTCTTTTGGTAGGCGAACGTGCGCTGCGGTATGGTCATCAAATGGTTCTGCGATAGATCCAAGAACGTCAGCTCCGCATAGAACTGTATGGACGAGTCGATGGTCTTGATTTTGTTGCTCTTGATGACCAGACGCTGTATGGATGGATTCAATGCTATCGGCAGCACATCCAGCTGCCCCTCGCCGCACTGCACAACCAAGGTGTTGTCATCGCACTGGCAGCCGGGCGGGCAATTCGCCAGCGCCTCCGTTTGGCTAACCCAGATGCTGATCAAGATGCAGCTGCAGATGCAGATCAACTTTTGTAGTTTCTGCATTTTGTTGTTTTTGTTCTTTCGCTTTGTGTTGCTGTTTTTGTTGTTGTTGGTCAGCGCCTTCCGGCGTCGATTTGCGTTTTGTGGTTAATATCGAGTGTGTGTGTATATTTTTGTGTGTGTTGTTTGCTTTTAGTTGTCCATAGTGCTGTGAGAAGAAAAAGATTGAAATAAGAACATTTTCGGTTAGCTATGTTTTAATTTTCAATGAAGCTATTTTTAAAGTGGCTTGAGAAATATAAATGTGCAGTCAAGATGATTGTGTTTTATTTACAGATTTTCAGTTATATTTAGCTGAATTTTATTTAGAATTTAAAAATTTGTGTGTTTTCGAATTTATTTTTTAATTTACACAATTTTACAAGCACTCAGATTAACTCTCTGATTTTCTTTATATCATTGTGTCAAGAAATTTTGTGGTCTTAAATTCAGTTGGGAATAGTTTTTTAATGTTTAAACTTATCTTAAGGAATTTCTTTTTGTTTTTATCTTTGTTATATTATAAAGCGCAACTTTGAATGCTTTATTGTTTTTCACATTATTTAATATTTCTCAAGCACTTTGATTTTTCTACAACTCAAATTTTTGCAACTTACCTTTAAGTCTATGGTGCACAGCAACAATTTGTTGAAGTCTGCGGTTTTTGTTTTTCAAAATTATAAAAACAACTAAAAATGTGTTTGGTGGTTTAACAAAATTGTACTAGCCAATTTGTGGTTGTTTTCCTTTTTTGTGGATGTTTTCACTGCACTTTCCAATTACTCAAAATTTCACATGCAGCCAATCAATTTTTGTTAGCCAATTCATAACTTTAAATGGTTTTGTATTGTTTTAAAAATAAAACATATATTTTGTGTGTGTTGTATTTTTGAAGTTGTGTGTGTTTTTTTGAAAATCGTGCGCGATAATCCAGTGGCTCGCTTTGCTGCACGCTTCAAGTAGTTGTCACACGGCGTTTAAGTTTTACGTTCTTTTAACTGTGGCAATGTTAGCCAAGCTGAGAAAGACACAGTCGCTGCTGGGCTAGTCCACAACCGAACACGACGAGGCAACGAACTACACTGATTTAGCTGAGCGGCTAGCGCACTGACGATACCTCGGTCCGAGTGTTTCCAGCAACGACAGCTGCAAGCGGGCGCAAATACTCCACGACGACTGCACGGCCTTGCATTGCGGCCCGAACGAGCGAGAGCACGAAAGCGAGAGAGAGAGAGAGAGAGAGAGAGAGGGAGAGCGCGAGCACACAAAGTGGTGCAAATGAGAGCTCAGATAAAGCAGCTGAGCGCAAAAACTGGTTCTGAGAGTTGCTGCCTGAAAGTCACTCAAAGCAACTCTCACTCATTTATCTGAGGCTCGTTCTGGCCCAACTACCTGGGCTCTTGGCTGTTGCA